GTGGTGGAGATGCCGACGGCACGACCAGCGTCAGCGTGGCACCAGCTTTCGCGCCCTCTGGCTGCTGCGGCGGGCTGCCCCCGCTGGTGAGAGGCATGGGGGGCAGGCTGGACCCAGAGCTCCCCTGGCTATCAACGCCGCGGTCTGCCAGTGCAAGCTGCCCGCGGTCCACCATTGAAGGATGACCATGCTGTTGTTGCTGTCCCCCTGCGCCGTTGAAGAACGTCAGATTGGGCGCGCCGCTGCCGCTGCTGGCCGACAGCGCCCCTTGGGCGCCCGAGCCCATGGACCCGAGCTGCATGGCTTGCATGGGGTTGAGGCCCATGCCCTGGGCGGCCTGCATAAAGGAAGCTACCTGCGCCATCTGGTCGAAGCCAGGCTGAGCTGGACCAGCTGCGTTGAGGGGCGGCAGCTGGGGCAGCACCGACGTCTTCTGCTGCTTAGCTGGCACGGTACACCTGACGTGCTTGTTGGTGTCCCTGCAGGAGGTCATCCCCCTGAACGCGCTCCAGTTGTCGAGCGTCATCTGCTGCGGCGGGTCGGCCTCCTCATACATCGCGAGGTAGACAGGCTGAGGTAGCTCGGCAGGAGTTTCTGGCCACGTGCGAATAAGTGGAAGCATGCCGCACTCGGGGGGCAAGACCCTAGGGAACTTCTTGCCAAAATCCAGGGTCCGCTGGTACAGGTCCTGCGCAGTGATCTGGTCAGACTTGGATGCAGCGGCCAACATGCTGACTATACCAGCACAAGATGGCGACGATGGGCGGTACATCCCGCCTTTCAGCAAGCGGTTGACCACGACGCGAGTCCTGACGTCAGAGTCCCATGGGATGCTGGTATTTGATAAGGTGGCCCAGTCGCTGGCGGTGAAGTAGTTGCAGACGCTGCCGCGCGTCGGCCAACTCTGCTTCTCGGTGGTGCCCAACTGGCCCACGCCACTGCTCGACTGGAGCTTCGCTTGGACGCACGAAGAGAGCCTGAGCTTCTGAGGAGCGTTAAAGCAGCTCGCTGAGACGGCCTGGAGCAAGGGCGAAGCTCCATCCGAGAGCACTGGTTGAGAGATGCCGTTGATCATAGTGCACAGCGAGCTGCACATCCCGACCTGCATCTCAGAGAGCGACTCTGGCGCAGTTCCCAAGTCCCCTTGGAGCTTGAGCACGCTGGAGGTGCCATTGATCTCCGCCACGCACTTAGCGACGGTGGACATCAGCAGTGCTCCTGGAAGGTCGGTGCGAGGAGACAGCGTTGGAAGAAACAACTGCACGTTGCCAAAATGTTCGAGCCAAAAACGGCTACGGAATGTTAGGCGGCGTCGGTGTGAAGGCCCCCAGGGGATACCGAACGCGATGGTTCCACGCTGCTTCTAGACTGAGCGGGGGCAGCAACCGACAACCAAATCTTGAGTCACACCGCCAAGGATCTGCTAGATTTGCAGGCGTAAACGCTGATGTGCCTGAACGGTCGATCTTCGAGAATTTCTCATATGAGAAATTCTGGTTGAGAGGTTTCGACCCCAATTTTTGATTTCAAAAATTGCCGAAGGCGCACGGCGCCCGCAATTTCTCATTTCAAAAATTGTAGGCGAAATCTCTCAACGAGAATTTCTCATATGAGAAAGTCGGGTAGAATCCTGATTTCTGGCGTAGGCCAGCTCCGATCGGCCTCGGAGGCCCCAACCGATACACCGGCCATATTGTTTGAACAAAAAAGCCGGCCTTTTTTTCCAAGTCGAGCTGGAAAGCATCTTCTCCCAGCCTCTCTTTTGCCCTTCTGCGAAGGATTTTACCGAGAGACAGTAGCTGTTGTTTTTCAAATCGGATTGGAAACGCGCAGAGGAAGACCAGACGCTTCTGCAATCAGGACAGGGTTGGCAGGACGACCCGGACGGACGACGGAGGCTGAGGGGCAGTAGCAGAGTAACGAAGCGAAGTAGAATGATATGCATCACCAGCAGCAGAGTTGGGATGAGGAGGAGGAGGAGCAGCAGCAGCAGGAGCAGGGGCAGGACATTGGTGAAATGCTAAGGCGCAGGATGAGCAGGATGAGGAGGGGGAGGGGGCAGGAGGGAAGGATAGGGGTCAGGAGGGAAAGCAGAGGATCACGAGCAGGATTTCGGTTGCAGCTATGGCTCTCTCCTCAGGCCCCAAGCTTTCGCAAGAACCTCAATGCGTCCTGCTCGCAGGCACTGCAAGGGGCGGACTGCCTCTCCGTCGGGCACGACGTGTTAACTATTAGCACCGTGCCAGCTATGTGCAGACGAGGAGCAGCAACAGACCAAAAAACAAAACTAAAAGGGGCTCAAGCCTTGCGAGCCTTCTTGTTCGGCAGCTCGTCCTTCTTCTCCTCAGGGAGGAGAAGCTCGTCGCCGCTGTCGACGACGACGGTGTTCTCGTACACAGGGATGTCGAGAACCAGGTTCTGCTCCAAGGGGCCGTCCTTGGTGGATACCGAGATGATAATTCGCTTCGTGGAGAGCTTCATGTTCGGCTTCTGGCCAGGTGCTGCCTTCTGCACGGCCCAGAAAGGAGCGACGAAGTTGGAGCCAGGCTTGTTCGTGATCAGGTGCGGGTGGAGCGAGAAGAGCGTCGCCTTCGTGTGGATCAACCGCCCGAGGTCAACCCCCTTGCCATCCATCTCATCGGCTGAGCCGCGAGTCTTGATGTTCTTGGTGGCTGGGACCAACTGGAGCTCGCCTTTGTCGAACTTCTCAAGGGCGACGACCGTCCACGGGCTCTCGTAAACGTCCAGTTTGGAGTAGTCACTCTTGAGGGACGCCTCCTCCGACAAGCAGTTCAGGCTGAGCCAGATCTGCGACTTTACGTAAATGATCTCCCAATCATGCGACTGCTCTGGACACACACCCTGGAGGTCGACGTGCTTCTGAGGCTTTGCGTTCGTGGTGGCCCACATCTTGCTCAGGGCATGGCTGGGCACCTCGATCATCGCCTTGCCACTCGAATCGGCATGGATGCCTGTAGGCGCCAACGTCGCCATGACCTTGTCCAGAGCAGCGATGGTGTACATCTGGCACGTGTCGGATGTGTCGGCCTTGCGCCTCTTGACGCTTGCGCCAATGCAGTACCCCATGTTGATCAATTGGTACTCGATTGACTTCATCTCGTCCATCGACTGGAGCGACGTGGCCTTGCTGCTATTGGCCACGGCGGAGCTGCCCTCGGGCTGGGGGTCAGCAGTCCCACGAACTTCGCGGATCGCCTGGCACTGGGCGCATAACAATGGAGAGGGAGATATAGCCAACTCGACCACGTGAAGATGCGCTCGCAACAAAAAATGGAGGGGCCAGGAGGAATGAGAACGACAGGAGAGGTGTGAGGGTCAGAGCATGAGAAGCTTGCAGCAGTTGGACAGAAGTAAAGTCAGACGCCTCCTCCTCCTCCTCCTCCTCATCCCCAGCCTTTCTCTCCCTCTTCCTCCTCATCCTCGTTGTGATCCTGATTGGCTGAAGCGCACTCAACAAGTTTATCGCCCGACCGTTCGCGTCCTCCTTCCCCTCCTCCGCCTCATCTGTCTCATCCTCCTCCTCCTCCTCCTCCTCCTCCTCCTCCTCTTGCTCCTCCTGCTCCTCATCCTCCTCCTCATCCTCCTCTCTACGCTCCTCCATGCCGTTGCCATCTTGGCTCAAGCATCAGTCGGCTCAAACATGGTCATCTAGTGCCCTCCCCCCTATGCGCACAGAGTGCAAGGACATCGTTACAGGGAAACACCATGCCACATTGTTTTCACTGTTGCTCACGGCTGCTAGTCGAAAACGCCAGCATGCAGAGCTGGAGCGAGTCAGCCTCGAACCACATAGGCAAAGACTCACCGAGAAGACGCTCGGCACAGAAACTAGGCAGGCAAGCGAATCACCCGACAGCTGAGACGATACATGTCCCCTACAGCTTGTGACCACCTACTGATTGAACTTAGACTTACCCTCTCTCCTAATGGCATGGCGCGCCTCAAGACTACAAATCCTGTCGGACAGTTTTTTTGCTCGCGCACTTGCCCTTCGGCTTGGCACCGCCGTCCTTCGGGTCGGATTCATCGTCATCATTGTCGTCGTCCTCTGTCTCGAAATCCGCAGCGGGCCGATAGAGACGCTTGGCGGACTTGGGCCACGCGCGACGCTTCATCCAGACCCACAGCAAGCACTCGCCCCTCAGCTCGATCATGGCATGCTCTGGGGAGATGTTGACAGGCATCTTGCAGAGGACGGAGGGCACCGTTATCCCGCCGTGCTCGAATCCGCTGAGAGTGACGTCGACCAGCGATGCTTCCTGGCCTTCCTGCAATCGCTTGAGCGCCTTCATCTGGAGCCTCTCCTTGTGGGCCGTCTGCCCAGCTGGTCCAGATTCATCGAAGCCAAGCTCTGATTTAGATGCGGAGGCCTGCAATTTCTTCAGCACGTCGATTACTGCAGACATCTCTTTGTTGTAGGCCTTCTTGCCAGACAGCCAGGCACTAAGCATGGCGTCGCCCTTGGCCAGGGGGATGAACTGGGTGCCGCCAACGTTGAGGACTGCGGCTCCTGGCCAAGAGGGCGTCTTGTCAGTCATCGCGCTGATCGTCACGGTTTTCGTGAAGCTGATCGTCTTCAGCTCGAAATCCATTCTTGGGAAATCGTGGCTGCCTTCAAATTCTAAAAAAACAAATAGGGCCGAAATGGCTACGGAACGATGCGACGACATTGGATGATGTGGCTTGTGGGTCCAGGGTCCGTTCGTATTCAGAGGACGCAGTTTTGGAACGAGGATTTGGCTGGGGTAGCACAAGACGATTCTGCAGGGGTGTTAACATCACCGATTCCACTTGCTCTGATATCCATTTGAAGCTTGAAACCCCAAGCGCAATGTGAATCACACAACTCCTACTTCTGCCCGCCATCCCTCGTCCTTCACACATCATACCAGGCCAGAGAACCAGCACGCCGAAACAAAGGCCAGAGAAACAAAACCACGCCAGAACATCAAAAAAGGCAGAGTAAAATCCAGACACATTCATTTTAAAAACCTCATCTTGCTCCTTCCTTCCTTCCCTCTACGCTGCGCCCCCTCGGTGGCCTCTGGTGCCTTGGAGAGCAGCCGATGGTTGGGCACCCAGGGGTTGGTGACGGGCTGGCCCAGGATGTCCGACACGGCGTCTATAAATACTTGCCCTGCGCACATCAGGTCTGGATGGTGTGTGCCTTCACGAGAAGCTTTCCCTTTATTCAACATCGTGTTGACCAGTCTGCAATCGTGGAAGCAAAGAAGGTCCCAGTGCTTGGACGGCTCGAGGTGATTGCTTTTCAAGATGTCGCGAGCGTCGTCCATCATCTTCTCTGCTAGTTTTGCCAGTGGTGGCAACTGCTTGCTAGTAAGTTTTCCTACGTCACTCTCCTTGAGAAGGTCGCACCTCCCGTCCTTGATCTTCTCTATCGGCGCTAGCATGTTCGAAGGGAGTGCTGCTAGGCGGACACGGTTGTGCTGGATGACCTCACCAGCCCAGTGGACGTTGGCGATCTTCTCGATGAAGCTGCCGCCGACGCGGCCGTAGTTACTGCTCGAGTGCTCGGGCACCTTCGGGCGAGGGGTGGCACAGCGAAAAAGAAAACAGGCATCTCCTCCCCTCTGCCTAGCAATCCTTCCCATTCCTCAGTACCACCCTTTCTCCATCAATCTCAGATTTACCCTATGCACCTTGACCGTTGCTTGAAACATGCCCCTGGCCTCCGACAGCTGTTCGTAAGAGACCACTTTGCACAGCTTCACCAAAGACATTGACCAACCCGCCCAAAACGGATCTGTCTTGATGCTCTCCGATACAGCCTCCATCCACGCAGTCTTCTCGTCAAGGCCATTGCTGCACATGTTAGCGAACGCACTCGACATGCTCATGAGGCCCTCCATCTCAGAAACTTGCGACGTTCCATGGTTATTCAATGCTTTGAACCCGATTTCCAAGATGTCTGGGAAACGTTGAATAGCAGATTCGTGAATCAAGGTCCATTCGAGGCCACTCGTGAGGCCGCGCTCCATAGCAGGATGATTCTTGACCATCTCATCCTTGATCAACCTGCCACTGGGCGCTAGCTTGTTCAGCGTGCATGTGCCGTTGGCCAGGACCGCCCTCAAAAAGGCGCTGCAGTGGGAGCCTCCGAAAGTAAAACACATAATATTGTCGAAGGGAGGCAAACCTTGGTTGACAGAGTTCTCGTTGCCGAACTGCACCCAGGGCTCTGAGAACGACGAACCTCGGGAACCGAAAACTAACTCTACGAACTGATGTTTTTTGTTGTAACCCCTGGAGTCAACAAACGTTTGGACTGTGAACCTGGAGTCCTGGATACTGCAAAAGCTCCAGCGCAGGCCTTCTTGTAGCTCCACCCTGCGTTGCAATGCTTGAGCCCGTTGCTGAAGGCCTCGCCAAGCGTGACACCGATGCCGCCACGATTCTTAGGATGGGGCGCAGCGAAGTCTGCATGAACGCACTGCTTCCGCATGAGGCAAGGGTAGGCCGACAGCGTGTCTGTCAATGTGTCGAAAGCCTCAACGATTTTGCCATCAGCTCTGTATTTGGCCAGCGCGACCTGGATGGCTGGTGTGACGGCCTGCAGCGCAGACTCCACCTTCGATGCCATCGCGCTGCCCTGCAGACGGCGCCGAAACAAAGGGCAGGAAGGCGTGAGCGCGAAAACTTGCGCCACAAGGCTGCGAAAACGCGACGCGGCGGTGGTTGGACTTCACCGTGCTGGCTTCCAAACACTTCTCTCCCACCCTCCCTCCCCCCCTCCCTTCCTTCCCTCCTAAGACGGCCCAAGGACGCTTCAAGACGGCGCTCCACCCAAAGGCCCCAAACCTTCAAGACGACCCAAGAACGCTCCAAGACGGCGCTCCTCCCAAAGGCCACCACCCTCAGGACGGCCAAATAACGCTCCAAGACGGCGTCGCTAAAGCTCTTAGCCAAGCCCCGCTAAACCTTTAGCTAAACCTTTGCTAAGCTGCTTAGCTAAGCCTCGCTAAACCTTTTAGGCTCAGGGCTGTAACCGTTTACCTAAGTCAAAGCTAACGTGCGCGTCGTCTTTAGCAACGCTAAGGTACCTGTCGCTAAACCACTATATCCCTGGAGCCGTTTATGGTAACGCTTGTAAGAGTAGCTAACATATTAGGTAACTGAAGCTAAGCACCCTAAGTGTTAGACGCTGTTGTCGGTACTTGTGAAGGTTTGCTAGTAGTTGGCAGAGTGTTACTAAAGGTTACTAGTGGGTTACTAGAGTTTGATAACATGCTACAAGAGCACCAACGCTAAGCAAGGCGCGCGGCCATCCAAGTGGGCGAGGGGCCAGCCCGCTGGGCACCGGTCAGGGTGGGCAGGGCTGCTTGCCGGGCCAGGCCCCAGGCCGGGGGCGACCGGGCTGCGCTGAACACGGGCCGCACATGGCCTCGGCGCTTTCCCCTCGCGCATAATATGGTGCCCCGCCCTAACGCGCGGCGGCATTGCCCCTTGCAGCCGTGTGTTCGCCTACCTACGAAGTGGCCCGGTGGCCCATGGCCACAGTGCGTGTGGCTGCATTTCCGCGCTCGCATATTGTGTTTATTCCCCACGCAGAAAGGCCCGCGGCCGCCGCGCGCCGAATGCACAGCTCGCGCCCGCGCGCGCGCGTAGTACGCTGAGCCACTTGGCCGACGTGCTACAACCCCATGTTAACATGGAAATCCATTCGGCCACCGCTGAGGGGCCGCTTGAGTTTCCAGGCAAACATATAGCGGCCCTTGTATTGTGGGCACAACAGAATTCACAGCTCGCGCCCGCGCGAGCGTGGGCGCGTTGCGCGCGCAGCCACATGGTCGACATGCTCCAACCACATGTTAACTTGGAGATGCAGTCGGTCACCTCTCATGGCCACCTTCGTTCACAGGCCAACACGGCGGCCCTTCTTTTGCGGGTAACCCAAGATTCACGACTCGCGCTCGCGCGGGTGCGGGCGCGCGCGCGGTGGCGCTTTGTAAATCGAGCCACGTAACCGACACGCTACAAACTCTTGCTAACTTCGAAATCCAATCGGTCACCGGTCAGGGGCCATTTGAGTTTCCAGGCCACAACATGGCGGCCCTTTCTAATGTGGGTAGTCCAGAAGTCACATCTCGCGCGCGCGGGCGCGTTGTACGCTAAGCCACGTGACCGACATGCTACAAGCCCATGTTAACTCGGAATACAATCAGCCACCGTTAATTGGCCAATTAGATTTTCCATGCCAACATGGTGGCCGTTGTACGGTGGAAAATACAGAGTTCACAGCTAGCGCGCGCGTGGGCGACGTGTACGCTGAGCCACCTGGCCGATACGCGACAACCCCCATGTTAACTCGGAAGTTCAATCGGTTACTGCGGAGGGGCCACTTGAGCTTCCATGCCAACATAAAGGACCCGATATTGCGGGTAGTACGGCTTTCAGAGCTCGCACGCGCCGGGGGGGGGGCGCGCGCGCGCGGGCGCTATGTGCGTTCAGCCACATGCTACAAGCCCATGTGAACTCGGAATTCCAATCGGTCACCGCTCAGGGGCCGCATGAGTTTCCAGGAGACAGCGGCCCTTCTATTGTGGGTAGTGCAGGATGCACAGCCCGCGCGCGCGTGCGCGCGTTGTGCGCTGAGCCACTTGGCCGACATGCAACAACCCCATGTTAACTTGGAAATCCATTCGGCCACCGCCACGGGGCCGCTTGAATTGCCAGGCCAGCACGGCGGTCCTCTGTCGTGGATGATACAGAGTTCACAGCTCGCGCCCGCGCGCGCGGGCGCGTTGTACGCTGAGCTACTTGGCCAACATGGCACAACCACGTGCTAACTAGGATATTCAATCTTCTACCGCAGCGGGAAACTTTTAGTTCCCAAGCAAACATAGCGGCCCTTCTGGTGTGGATAGTTCGTAAGTCACTGCTCGCGCGCGCGCGCGCGCGTGGGCGTCCTTTACGCTGAGCCACTTGTGCGACATGCTACAAGACCATGTTAAATTGAAAATCCAGTCGGCCATCGCTAGAGAGCCACTTTCGTTTCCAAGCCAATGCGGCGGCCCTTCTGTTGTGAGCGATGCAGAGGTCACAACTCGCGCCCGCGCGCGCGCGCGGGTGCGTTGTACGCTGAGCAACTTGGCCGACATGCGGCAACCCTCGGTAAACTGGGAAAACCAATCGGCCACCGCTAAGGGGCCACTATGGCTTCCAGGCCAACATGACGGCCACTCTATTGCGCGCACTAAAGAATTTACAGCTTAATCGGCGCGCTGCTAACTCATGGTTACTCGGAAGTCGAATCAGCCAACGATAGGGTTGCACTTCAGTTTCCAGGCAATCGTGGCTGCCCTTCTAATGGGTAACCAAGTGATCCAGAAGTCGCAACTCGCGCGCGCGGGTGGGCGCGTTGAGCGCTGAACCACTTGGCCAACATGCCACAAACCAGTGCTAACCTGGAAATCAATCCGGGTTTCCAAGCCAATTCGGCGGCCCTTCTACTTTGGGCCAGGGTTCGCAGCGCGCGCCCGCGCGCGCGCGGGCGCGTTGCGCGCTGAGCCACTTGGCTGACATGCTGGAAGCCACCGCAAAGGGGCGACTTGAGTGCGCAGGCCAACATGGCGGCCATTCTACTGCGGGTAGTACGAAAATTCACAACTCGCGCGCGCGGGCGCGCGCGCGAGGCGCCTTGCACGCTGGGCAACTTGGCCGACACGCTACAAACCCATGTTAAGCATGGAAAATACCATCGGCCACCGCTAAGGGGCCACTTGAGTCCTCAGGCCAACGTGGCGGGATTTGCACTGCGGAGAATACAGGGTTCACAGCTCGCGCCTGCGCGCACAGGCGCGGGCGCTCTGTACGCTGCACAACTTAACCGGCATGCTACGACCTTTTGCTAACTTGGAAGTCCGTCGGTTACTGCTAAGGGGCCACTCAAGTTTCTTAGCAAACGCGGCGGCCATTCTATTGTTGGTGATACAGAATCAATTCACAGCTCGCGCGCGCGAGCGCAAGCGGGCGCGCGCGCGCGTGGGCCCGTTGTACGCTGAACCATTTAACCAAAACGCTACAAACTCGAGCTATCTCGGATATTCAATCGGTCACCGCTAATGGGCCGCTTGATTTCCCAGGCCAGCATGGCGGCCCTGCTATTGCGGGTAGAACTCACAGCTCGCGCGCGCGCGTGGGCGCGCTGTGCGCTGAGACGCTTGGCCGACATGCTAGAAGCCCATGTTCAATTGGAAAAAGAAATCGGCCACCACTAAGGGGCTGCTTGAACTCCCAAGCCACCATGGCGGCCCTTCTGTTCTGGATAACGCAGAGTGGCGGCTCGCCCCCGCGCGCGCGGGCGACTTGTGCGCTGAGCCACTTGGCCGACATGCTACATCCCCATGTCAATTTGACAATCCAGTCGGTCACCGCTGGGGGGCCACTTTAGTTTCCAGGACAGCACGACTGCCCTTCTTTTGTGGATAACGCAGAATTCACAGCTCGCGCCCGCGCGCGCGCGTGGGCGCGTTGCGCGCTGAGCCACTTCGCCGACGCGCTACAAACCCATGGTAAATCGGAAATCCAATCGGTCTCCGCTAGGGGACCACTTGAGCTTCCATGCCAACATTGCGGCCTTCTATTATAAATGATACAGAATTCACAGCTCGCGCCGGCGCGCGCGCGCGGGCGCGTTGCGCGCTGAGCCACTTGGCTGGCGCGCTGCAGCCCCGCGCTACCTGGAACACCCATTCGGTCACCGCCCAACAACCCCTTCGTTTCCAGGCCCCTTCGTTGCCAGACCGCTGAGAACAATGCAGAATCACACCTCGCGCGCACGCGCGCGTGCGCGTTGTACGCTCGTCCTCCTCCTCCTCCTCCTCCTCCTCCTCCTCCTCCTCGCCCAATCCTCCTCCTCCTCCTCCTCCTCCTCCTCCTCCTCATCCCCCTCCTCCTTCTCCTCCTTCCTCCTTCCTCCTCCTCCTCACCCCCTCCTCCTTCTCCTCCTCCTCCTCTTCCTCCTCCAAAGCTTGCGCAGTCAATGTCATCATACTTCTGCTCGCCCCTTTCCTGCTACTCCCGTCGCTCCCCCCTTCTTCCTTTTAGTCCTCGTCCTCCTCGTGTTCCTCCCCCGCCTCCCCCTCCCCCGCCTCCTCATCATTCTTCTGCGCCCTGCCTGTTTCGGCAAGGGCCGCGAATGTGCATTCGCACCCGGGCGTGACCAGGCTGACCCACGAAATTCAGTTTGACGGCTTCCCCATCAATTTCTCTTCGTTACACGGAATGTTCCCGCACTTCCCTGATCAAGACATTTCGCCTGGGTACTATTGCTGGGTGGACCGTGATGGATACGAACAGTAACGAAACCAACTACGCGATCAACCGCGAATGAAACTACACACGGAAAGCCCCACAAACATGTTTCGCACGTGGCGTTCATCGCGCAACAACACTTCCAGAAGGGCGAAAGAGGCGAAGCCTTCCCACAATAAAATCACGATTTCTGAATTCAAGCACACACAGCCCTTCAGGGCAAAAACAACAACAAACCATAATTCTGGATTTTCCAAACCATGCCTTCGGACAAAAACGTAATCTTCAATATTACATTTTAGTTGTGCCCCCCGGCCTGGCTGTTAGCGTTTTGGG